ATTTCTCTTAGTATAATCAATTATTTTGACAATTTAAAAAAATTCTGTTGAGCCAAAAAAAATTATTATGAATAATCACCTTTACGTAATTTAAAAAATTTCGACTCCACAGAATTTGTTTTAAGTTGTCAAAATAATTGACTATACTAAGAGAAATCATTTTTTAAAATAAAATTTGGGGGTCACTGATGTCGTTTACGAGTTAAATTACTTTAAAGCCAAATTATGTCATTGTTGCCATAGCAACGGCAGTTGCATAACTTTTGTGCAAAAGTTCAAACTCTTTAGATGTCGTTTTATATAAGGGACCATTCATTATTTATGACCGGGGGTGGGCTGGCAAAATTCAATTAACAACTAAACAAAATGTCCTGCCCCACCCCCTGCATCACAAAAAAATTCAATGACTCCCTTCACATGAATTCTAAAAAATAGTACCCCCCCCCACACACACACACATACACACACACACCACCACCAACGACAATATAATAAATGTACAGTACTAAATAGAAATGAGCTCTTTAATAAACTTGTTGTAAAAGGCATCAGATCTTTCATTTACTTGTGCTTTCAACAATTAATATGCATGCCTATTTAACCCATTAAGCTGCAGAGTTTCCCGTTGACGAGTAAAATCATCTGGCGTTAAACAAGTACAAAAATGAGTACTGGGGTGCAATGGGTTAACTAGAGACATTGTCAGATTTTTTGGTTAACCCATTAAGCGCATGCAGAGTGCCGAAGAGGCTAAAGCTGGGGGTCATACCATTTTTCGCTACTAAGAGTGTAGTACAAAGTTGCTCAAAAAGGAAAAAGTTGCTTCAAGTTGCTCGAGCCGAAATAAGTTGCTCCAAACGCAAAAAGTTGCTCAAAAGTTGCTGAACACAATCGGGACATGCCTAGCAGAGCTTCCCCGTTGACGAGTAAAATCGGTTAGGAGTATAGGGTTAGGGTTACAGTGCCGTAGGAAGCTCTTTTTGATTGGGGAGCTGAAAGCGAGGGCCAAAGGCCCGAGGACATTTTAAAATTTAGAGTCTCTGAAATGCCATTTCCTGGACTTTGGGGAAGATTTGACAGAATTTTGATGGTAAGAAAACAGCATTTTAGTATGTCGAAATTTACAATTTAGTAGCACTAGATGGGCAGAGGCGTATTTAATTAACTATATATTGGATAAGTTGCAGAAATGAATATGAGAAACATCTTAATTCTTTGCAGTTTGTCGTGGGGATAATGTAGCCGCTTAAAATTAATTAATCAATTGTCAGTATTTTAAAGGTATATTATTTAAATGCTAAAGAAGGTCTGCATGATTTTGGAAAAAGAATGATTATTAGCAAATTATTGGGCGGAGGGGGCTGCAGCCCCACCCCCCAGCGCCCCCGGTTGTTACGGCCCTGGGTTAGGAGTAGGGTTAGGGTACTACGTCAATGAACTACAAAGACCGCTAAACAGCTAGTGACTCGGACATTTGACTCCGGACATTTGACTCGGATTTGACTCGGATTTGACACGGTAAACCGACAAACTCCTTAATACTAAATGAAACCATGTATAAAATACCTAGTATAAACTAGTGTATATAGTATATGCAAACTTTCCCTGGACGTAATGTAGCTACATTGCTTACTCGTTAATTATCTTTTTTACTAAAATGTACATAATTGAAATGACAAAAATTTATGGCAAGTTCATAGCAAAAGTTATAAAGGTAGATGTTCGATTATTTTTCATATTAGCTGCGCGCATTGCATTTTGGGTATTTGTGCATTGCATTTTGGGTCTATCTGTTGATTAAAATTGAGAATAGTATGCCAGTTACATGAGTTAAATTTGCTGCCTTGCTCGCTCCCTCATGTGGTAGCAATAATCGTTACATGTCAAATTTTTCTCCACTATATACCACTACTAGTATACTTATCAGTAGTATGCTGACTTGCTCTTTAATTTGACGATACATAAAAAACGGCCTCATCTTTCCACATTAACAACTTACCCCAGTTTAAATACAATCTCGTAAGCTCCTAACCCATCGTAACTGTAACCTCAACATTAACTTAATCGTTGTGACGTCATTATTGTAAATATGAATAAATCCTTGTTTCTAACCCTAGCTTTATTGTGCGCGAAACATGAGAATCTAACCATACACTATTTTTTAATCTTTCTATCCTACCGTTACTCTAATATCTGTGACATCAAAACGACAATGGTATGGAAACGTGTACCCATTTTTGGAACCTTTTCATTAGACCACAATATCAACCAATAATTATTTTAAGAGCACACAGATTTTTAATTACACAACAACGATCACTATTAAAGACCACAAACATTACTTCAAACTATCACAAGACGGCACAACTGTACAGTGAGTGCGGACTGTGTGGTACAGTATGTACTATTTAAAACGCGATCAGGAGTGCTTTATCAGATATTCACATATACATACTTACACCTGCGGTATGTCGGCGGGCTATTGAGTATTGTCGTTGTAGTACTTCAACCAAATAATTCACAAAATAATGTATGCATCAACAACTGCGCTGAAAAGGTGTGAACAATGATAGCGCAGACATACGGCAGGCATATGTGAACCAGGCTAAAGAAGGAGTAAAGTAAAGTGCTTAGCTGATATTTTACTTCGCTTGAATATACTTCTTCGCCAAATTGCCTTTCTTTTGATTTTATTGAAGCGAAGTCGTTTAAGAACTGCCGTGAATACCGAACAACATGGTCATGGAGCAAAACTTGCACTCCAAGGACGTCAAATTAAAGCCACGTTACTTCGAAAACTACAGGGTGTATCAAAAAATCTGCAAACACTACACTGTATAATTTGCATAATTCTGCTGCCTATTAGCATTTCAATGTCGGTACTACTTATATTTTGCTCCTGGGATTTGAAAATACATTCTAATTAACCCCGTTGATAGAGATTAGAATAACCCAAAGTTATTTGTAAAGCAGAAAACTAATTATCAGTTCGACTGCGAACTATTGTGTTTACGCACGCTTGGGATCAATTAGTTTTGAATCCTGCAAATTCTAAAAACATTGTACTGTACAGGGTGAGTAAAAAAAACCTGATACCTTTGATATTCAAATTAGCCGCATAGGTGTCAGTTTTTTTTACTCACCCTAAATATCAAAGGTTTGAGGGGCAAACTCATATTTTTTTTTGGGGGGGGGAAGATAGAATTTTTAAAAAGGTACTGCTATTTGCCCATGCCGAACAGGACTTTTGTCCCCCCCCCCCAGGAGATTCGGCCCCTCTCAAAAGGGGGGCGATATTCCTAGGAATACCGCCCCCGGGGGCGAATATCCTAGAAATATCGCTCCCCCCCCAGAGTGGCGAATGCCCCAGGAATATCGCTCCCCCCTTTAGGATATTTGCCCCCCATATATGCGATGTGGTTTATTCAAATAATTTCGTGATACTTTCATCTTATTGGTGCTTTAAGGCCCATACAAACCGGACGCTATTTGGCAACGCGACTCGAATTTTCAGTTTTCACTCATTCATTGTTTTTCAAATATTCGAGACCACTTAACAATTTTAGCTATTTGGTCTGCATACCTTGTAAAATTTTTATCCGTTGACGGTTTTATTTGTTTTTGAAAACTGAAAATTCGCGTCGCGTTGCCGAATCGCTCCGTTCTGTGTGGGCTTTTACAGGTTTGAGAATTTAACTTTGCAAAACTAAAGCTTTTTTGTCTTTTTTGAAACGTATTATTGGAGTATTGGCAAGTTTTACCATTCAGAGATTTACAAACAATATTGAAACTGTAAAAGACAGTTTCATCTATACGAGCATTCACTAATGAGTAATGACAACTTATAAGCCATATATAAGCCATACATTTTCTGATAACGACAAAACGCTTGTGTAGCCTTTAGTCGCTCTCAGTGACTAATACATTTTTTTGAGGGCCCCTTACCCCCCAAACACGAAAAAACAGAGCCGAGACTTGATAATGATAAAATTCAAAGAGTTAATAAAAAAGAAGCAACTTCGACAAATAAAATAATTACAGAAAGCACCATCATCCTATGTGATTCCAATGGGCACAAATTAGATACTAAATTACTCTGCCCAGATACATCTTCAGCTTACATCAGATGTCCAACAATCGAAAGTGCTGAAAATATCCTGAAACAACATGACCTTAAAAATCCAAAAACAATTATTCTACATTCAGGTACAAATGATATTGAAAAACGTTCAGTTGAAAGCATTTGTAAAGACACTCATTCACTTCTCTCCTTCATCAAATTGAAACTACCACATACCCGGATAATTCTCTCAAGCCTACTACCTCGCAACGACTATCTTCTTGAAAAAGCACAAAAACTTAACGAACAGCTAATCAAAATCTCCTCCGAATTCACCAACACTAACCTTGTGAAACATGATAACCTTTTCAGGTCTACTGCCATCCTTTACGACAAGAAACACCTCAACAGCAAAGGTGTGAAGATATTCGCAAAAAACCTGAAAGGTGCTTATTTTGGTACAACAAAGAAATACCAACCCACCAACAAATCATCCCACCAACAACCCTCAACAATGTATCATCCAGCCAAGAAAACAACCTTCCCTCCCTTTCATCAACCATATCCTATCACCCCAACACTTCCACACTTCCAACATCCTTCGTCCCATCCAGCAGTCAGAACAAATGGCAATGCAAACCAATGGAATAGTTTAGTCAATTATAACATTCCAGAAAAGTTGACCGAGCTGGTAACCGTCCTTCAAAAGTTCCTTCAATAAAGTGAAATGGTCTGTGAGTATCCAAAACTGACTAACTCAATTATATTTTAACTTTCTATTAATATTATTTAGTATAATGTACTCACATGTAGGGTAATATAAGCCCATATGTGTGCACATACCTAAAGCTTTCCTCTTCCTTATTACTCTAAAAATCAATTTATCCCAGATCAGTCAATGTTTTCAAAATTTATTTCTACAATATTAAATTGAGTATTAATGCATTCTAGGCTCTCTATTAGTGCTTGGAATATACATGGTTTAAAACATAAAACGCTTGGTGACAAACTAAGCAACATTGATTTTATAGAAAATGTTAAAGACCTTGATTTAATATTTCTGACTGAAACATGGTCTAACGAGATTAACAGCATTCCTGGTTTCGTGACATTATCCACCATCACGGCAACCCGGAAATCAAATTCGGCTTGTCGCTTGTCTGGCGGAATTTCACTTTTATTCAAAAAGGAATTTGAAAATGCTATCTTTATTGAAAAACAAACAAAAAATTTCCTATGGTGTCGAATAGACAATACAATCTTGAACTCCACAAAAAATTTATTTATTTGTGGAGTCTACATTCCTCCAGAAAGATCATCCTACTTTGATGAGGATATATTTCATAACCTAGAAAATGATGTGGTATATTTTTCCAAAAAAGGAAACGTTATGCTGCTAGGGGACTTTAATGCTCGTACCAGCAAACTCGAAGATTTTGTTTCAAAGGAAGGAAACACTTTCATTAATGACATTACTGAAACCTCCTTTGAACCAAAAACTAGAGACAATTTTGATAGCTGTGTTAATAACCACGGTAAAAGTTTAATTGAGATTTGCAAAAACTGTAATCTGAGAATTTTAAATGGTAGGACTCTTGGTGATTCATTTGGAAAACCCACGTTTCATAATAAAGATGGAACTAGTGTGGTCGACTACATAATTTGTGACCAAGAGCTAACTCAAACAATCAAAAACTTTGTTGTTAAACCGCCAACATACTTATCTGACTATAGTCAAATAGTGACATGGATCAACAAAACATCACCTCAAAATTCTACCAACCACACAACTCCATCATCTAAAGTATATAGACTCCCACTCCAATTCGTTTGGGACAATGACGCAATGAATTCGTTTACTGCATGTCTAAAATCACCTCAATCTCAACAAAAACTTGAGAGACTAATCAACCACCATATTCCTACTTCAAAAGATGGAGTAAACACATTAGCTTCCGAAATGGAAGAGATAATTCTACATGCTGCAAGGAAATCTTTAAAAATTAAAAAGACAAAATTTAGAAATAAAATTAACAATGTCTGTAACAAGAAATGGTTTGAATGTCGACTAACAAGAATGTCGACTAACAAGACATTCAGTTAGAAAACTGGCAAATCAAAAACACCGCAACCCGCTCAATGTTGAAATAAGAAACGAATACCATATTGCCCTTAAGATTTACAAAAACACGCTAAATCGTAAGAAAGAAATCTTTCATAAAAAGAAATTAGAAGAACTAGAAACAATTTCTGAAAATGAACCAAACTCCTTCTGGAAATTACTTAAGAATATGAGTGATGAGCTTGAAGACCTTTCTACATGTGAGCCTGATGTTACTACTAACAGCTGGCTCACTCATTTTGAATCTCTGCATGCGAAACATACGATGCTAGGCACTATTTAGGCATTAAGATGAATAACAATGGTAATTTCACTTTAGCTCTTAAACAGTTGAGCGAAAAAGCCCTCCACGCACTATACAGTATGAGAAGACGACTCAATATACACCATCTTAACCCAAAATCTGCTATTAAAATTTTCGATCGAATTATAAGCCCCATCCTTCTTTACAACTCTGAAGTATGGGGTGCATATGTAAAATACGATTTTAACAATTGGGACAAGTTACCTATTGAAAAAGTCCACCTTAGATTCTGCAAACTATATCTAGGTGTGGGTAAAAAAGCTAGCAATATCGCCTCAAGAGGTGAACTTGGAAAATTCCCTCTAATTATTAATATCTTCAAAAGACTTTTCAAGTACATCACTCATTTGAACTCTTTATCGGAAACAGCAATTGCCAAACAAGCTTTCCTAATCTCAAAAGATTTGCTTACTAAACAGAACACTTCTTATTATGGAAAAGCAATGGATATTTTGAAAGCATTTAACCTCAACACAGAAATCACTGACTTGGAATCAATCACAACTGAACTTATTCAACCTATTACCAAACGTCTTAAAGAAAGTTACCTCACATTTTGGAAACACAAACTTGAAAATTCCTCGAAACTAACCTTTTATTCAACCATCAAGATAGATTACGAAGTAGAAAAGTACTTATCTATAATAAAAGACTCAAACAAAAGGAAAACCTTAACACGATTCAGATTAAGTAACCATAGCCTTCAGATTGAAACTGGTAGATACCATAATATAGCCCGAGAAGAACGACTGTGTAACCTTTGTCACTCGGGAGAAGTCGAAAATGAATCTCACCTCCTCCTCACTTGCGAGGCTTACGGTGACACTCGAGTAAACTTTATAAACAGTCTAAAAAACGATCTCACTACTACTGAGACAAACTTAAACGAACCAACTTTATCAGTTGACATAATGAAGTCAACTGCTAGTAACACCATCCTGAAATTATCGAAATTTATTTTTTCGTGTTTTGAGAAAAGACTTAAACAACTTGAAGCCGGGAATGCTGGTAGTCATTAGTTAAACTTTCCATCCTGTAAATAGTATCTTCTTATAGTCTACTTCTTAAATATTTTCATATGTTACATTGTTACATTGTTACGTTATAGTTAAGCTTTAGCAA